CACTTTGGAATGTACTAATCTTATTGTTGCAATAGAGCAACCATAAATAAAACAGCTAAGGTGTTGCATTAGAAACGGATCGCGTTTCATTTTCATATATCGAGATTATTACATTTCTGCCTATATCAGAAAAAGAAAGTAACCGCATCTCTTTGGCGCAGATGTTTTACAATCCATATTTTCGCTTTTATTAAACGCTCACAAATCGTCAATTTAATATCTCGTTAAAAAGTATAATTTATTTAATTAAAGGACACTAAAAACAACATTGCATAAAAGATAAAATTATGCGATTAGAAATAATTTCCTGTAATTTTAATTTTTTGTACCAATTTTTCTTTAATTTTTTTGTACAAAATATTACGACGAATCTTATATAGTCATAGATAAATACTACCTTAGTAGCAATTTATTAACGATAGGTTATGTTGAGAATATATTGGGCTAATATTTGGCCAATATTGTGTCATAATCGTGCTACTAAAAACATTTTAGAAACTGATTTAACGACTTATGTTAATGATATCATTCCAAATAATTGCAAGTCGCAAAATAATACAGGCTGTTCTTAATTCTAATTGGATTTGTAATACAAACGAATTATTGTTTTTTGTATAATCTTACAAAAATTTCCACAACTTATATAGATAAATTATTAATTAAGCCTGATTTTACTTTTAACTTTAAATTTTATTTTTAATAGTTATGCTATGAAGAAAATATTGTTTTGAATGTCTTTACATTATATATTTTATTTCATGATAAGATTCATTAATATTCATCAATATTCTTATTAAAAAAATTACAGTACTTGAATAAGAACAATCGGTAAATATATCGTCTTGCAACTTGATATTAAAAGGAGATTATTAACATAAACCATTATTTTCTAATATATAATCCGTATAAAATTCATCACAATATTGTATCCAAATAGATACGAAAAACATTTCATTTGGCACTCATCATGAATACGATCAGTTGTGCAAGTAATTTTAATAATTGTAAATTTAACTTAACGAGAGACGAAAATCAAAATCAACAGGTCTATTCTGTGTGGGGAGTGAAAAGTCAAAAAGATTTTAAATTAACAAAATAAATTTTTATTTAAAATTAAAATTTCAGAACCTGTAACGATCCTTCTGAATCCTTCTGAATTCTGATGAAAAAGATTGAACGCTTTCACCAGAACATTGTATGAAACAAAGAAATCGTGTGCTTTCTTTTTCAATTAGTAATCAAGGACGCTTATTTGAAATCCTTAATACGATCTGCATACCTAAAAATGTAATTCAAACAGATATTAATATTGCTGGTGCTAGTTAAACAGTATATAACATTATCATACCAATCAGATATGTAAAGTGCAAACGGCGTGCGCTTCTCTTTCCAAACTACTTTCTCCGCTACATATTACACACACACACACACGCGCGCGCGCGCGCGCGTGTGTGTGTGTGTGTGTGTGTCTGTCGCACAGTTATATATAGAGAAAGTATATATATATGTGTGTGTATATATTGTGATTATATCACTTAACTTAATGAGGCATCATCATTTTAATTAGATCCTTACAACCGAAATATTTTTTATTGTTACAAATTTTTATTGCTACATTCACAAACGTTAACTGTATACGATCTTATGTCATGGCCAAGCATAACTTTGAGTTCTTATTACACAACTGTCTATTAACAGTATTGGTTGTAATATGTTGCAAAAATATGGAATGTAAAGGTCTCTAAAGTTGAGCACTGTAAATTGAGCAATGAGAATTCTAGTTCTTAAAATAGCTGTTAAAATTCCACTTAAGAGAAACAGGAGCGGTAAAGTGCAATGTCATTATCTTCACACGTTCACTTTCTTTTGCAACTTTCGATACTCGAGTGTCGGCATAATATAGGATTTACTGCTTGGCTTTTATCTTCCTGTTATAAAATTTGTTGCAAACCCAGCAATAAACTCAAACAATTAATTTCTATATCTAATTTGAATATCTAAATCTCTCAGGGAGATGTAACTAAAATAAATATTATTTAATAATCTAAGAATTTCTAAATATATTACGGCTTTTTTTTATTCACACAAAATTTGAAACATTCAAAATTGTTGCGAAGCGTATGCAACAGTAAACTGAAATAAATAAAGATATATGCATAATATTTTCAAAAGTATGAGGGTATATACACACACATATATATACGTATATTTTATAATATTTTTTATGTTAATAAATTAATTATTGTTATTTTAGCATGAAGTATAAAATATGATAATCTGTATTTAATATGAAGATTGATAAATAAAATAATAAGCTACACATTGCACGTGAATAAGATATGACATAACATTACTATTTTCCCCAAGACTCAATAAGATTAAATGTAATATTGCACATTTATGTCTCGGACGAAAATAAATTGAACTACAAGGCGAGCCTGAACTTGACTTTAGAATGTGCTGCAATGAAACTGAATTGTTATAACGTGAAATTTATTGTCATGCTAATGACAATATGAATCCGCGTTGTGTCACGATTCATGAAACGATGGTAGTGAATGTTAATCAATAAGTGAAAGTCTATTGAAATTGAAGATTAAAAAAGATATAAAATTTTTCCAATGTCGCTTTTATTTTTATTATTTCCGTCAGATTTTTGCATCAAAATGCAAAAAATTTTACATTGTAAACTTATATATCATAATTTTGATAAAAATAAATTAAAGAAATGTTTTTAACAAATTTTTTTTAGTCATCGTAGAATATGATTATAAAATAAAAATTTGTTTGCTAAATTGAAACAAACAGACATAGAAATATTTATATATATAAATAAGTTGATAATTTTTCCAGCTTACTTTTACATATGTTTAAATAATTGATATAATTTTCGTTCTAATTGATAAAATTGATTTTTTTCTTTTAAATTAAAATTAGCTGATATACTTTAATACTGTTAATAGATAATACTTTATACTAATCGAATAGAAAAAAATTATATTTTAATATTATTTAAAAAAATCATACTATAACGCCCAATTTTCAAGGACATAAATTTCATCTTTGTTAAGAAAGATAATTTTATAAGTAATATTTAATCCGCGCGAGGAAACAAACAATAATACAATCAACAAACTGAAAGTTGTTTAAATAAAAATTAATTATTGTTATATTAGTATAAATGGTTTAAATTGATAATTTCGTAGGTATTTTTTACTATCTTATTTTATCATTATAAATTCGATTAAAATTATTATTTAATTAAAAATTCATTTAAATAAAATTCGAAAGAATCAATTACTAGAACTTGATATCATATTGTACTGCGTCATAAAATTTTACCGAACCGACAGTAGGGAATGGGTGCCGGAAAAAAGTAAAAGATATCCGGAATGAATCTCGCGGATATATGAAAACACCGATGACGCCGACCGCAGCTGTAGCCGCAAGCTGACGTAACGGAATCGCGATCGAGCTAAGAATTACATTACCTATGTAATGTAATTCTGTAAATTTATCACCGTACTGATGATTAGATAATGTCTTTTACTTCCTGAATAGAAAGTACATACTTCGTTGAAGTCCGAACGTAAGTCTCACCGTCTTTGCGCCTTCCCAATGACGATCGCTGTTGCATTACGTGTTGTCCACGATAACAAGACTACTTTGTTGCATCACTTGCAAAAAAGCTCGCATGCTCACAACGATTACGCAGCCTGGTTATTTAATCAGGTAGAAATTACTGCGTCTCGGCATTTAAGCAAAGATTACTAATTTCGTATTAGATAACCAGTTAATAGTACTAGCTAATTTATGAACCATATTACATACCGCAATATTCCGCTGTGTGTAATATACTGATTATTGTTTCATTTATATATGTGATTATATCATTTATATAGCGCAATGTTTACTTTTACCAATTTATACGCTCTGAAACTTTCATTTCAGGATCTTAAGATTTATAATGCTTCAAACAAAGTCCATAAAAAAATCTCCATTAATTATATAACAAACAGTCTCATAAAACAAACAACTTCTGTTCTTGCCATAACGTAGCTTTTTTAATCCAAACAAATTCTTTATCCTTACATCCGTCCTTGTCTATTATGTGATGAAAAAAAAACAATATTTTTATTTTAAATCCCTTTCAAAATATTACATTTTAGGAGCAATAATCAACTATATATGTCTTATATTAGACACCCACAAAATTAAAAACATAAAAACTCAGATCAATACTAAACTCTATTATTTACTAATAAAACAGAATTAATTATTGTCTTTTAAGACAACTCAAAATACATAAAGACATGAGAAAAGAAAGCGATACGAGAAAGTTTTGCAATTCTACTTATGACACGTGACTAGATTTTTATTCAATCATTTATTATAAGGTTGAAGTTGAATGCAACCCACGATTTTAAAATTTACTTTAAAGTTTAATATACTTTATTGTATCTTATTAATAGCTTATTTAAGATCAAATGCGATTATTCGTTATTCAAAATTCATAATTAACAATTGGTAGTACTTTAATTAAATTAATGAAAGATTTCTGATACTTGAATAAAACTATATATATATAGTTTTATAACTATATATTTGAATAAAGAATTGTATAGCAAATAAAAGCAAAGTTATTACCATTAATTTTAAAACACACTTTCTTATTATTCTATACAAAAGGTTCTTGTGTGTAGAAATTTCGAATTTTTATTTTATTTAATACAGATCTTAATAAAAAATAATTTTGTTTCTATAATAATAAGTTTAATTCATTATTTTTTTCGAAAGATGTGATATGGACTTTGTATTATATTTTTAAATATAGCAGAAATTTATAATTTCTATTATATAGCAGAATTTATAATTTTATAAGTTACTTAAATTTAAAGCAAAAATGTCTAACGTACTTTTGTTATTTAAAATAAAATATAATTATGAAAAAAAATATAATTATGAAACATTCACTGATAATAAATTCCTTCTTGTTTCAGTTGATGATGCATCTGGTAGATTCACTAATGGATTTTTCTGGGGTAATACTTATTTTACGGGATCAGCTACTGAATGTGACTACATTGGAACAGATTGGAATCCATCACATCATACATATTCAAAAAATCACGTAAAAAACCCCAAAGTTACAATCAATACAGGTCTTAGTGGAGCTACCTGGTCCGAAACAGATTCCGTGGAAGTGCCTTTTCAACTAGGATTTTATATGCTAAAACTTTCTATAAACGTATCTTACACGCCAGTAAGTATCATCGATATATTACAAATTTACATATATAATTTACGAATAAAAAAATATCTCAAAAATATTCTCTATTTTAATTTATTTTATATTTATTTTCTCTTTCTCATAAATATGAAGAAAATTCATATACATCATTGTTTACATAAAGTTTATACTAAAATATAAACATAGTATATTAATGATACTAAACATTAAACATTTCTAAAAAATGTAAAATTTAATATTTCTTCTGGTCTAACATAAATACGAAATGTGAAATTCTGTTTTTTATAAACGTAATGTTCTCAAAAAAACTTAACAGAAAGGTAGACCGATATGTTATAAAAAAATGTTCATATTTTTAATATCTTGATAATTGTTTTTAAATATACATATTATAGTCAAAGTTTCATTACACATGTAATATGTAATTTTATAAAAAATTAAGACATATTTCTCAAATTCTTGAGTTATTGCTCAGTTTTAAGGAAACACACT